TATATAAAGCTTATCATGTAGAAGTGGCTTTGTTTTTCTCATTGAAGGCTTTTTGAGATATGGACACTGCTTTTGTAAGTTAAAATGGATTGGAGGTGGTATGTTCCTAAGTTTTAGCACCCAGCACAGTGCCAGATCAAATTAGATTGATTGCTGGTACCATTTCTCCCTTGGGTAGGAAAAATAAACATCGCTCCTGAATGGGAAGCTCTGGCTTCAAGGAATCCTTGGGCTTCTCTAGCTCATTCCTTCCCTTTGTAGACAACAGCCAAAGCCCCATTGAAGGGAGAGGGCTTCTGGGGACCGTGGGGATCTGACTAGAATCCAGGGGTCTTTCTCACTCCAAAGTTCATGCGTTTTCCTCACAGTGGGCAGCCTCCTTACCCAGCTGTCAGGGTCAGGCCAGGCACTATCAATGACTTTGGGTGCTGCTCCCCTCTGAGCCTCAGTTTCCCTAAAGCAAAGTGAGTAGATTGAACTACATCATCTCTGGGGTTCTTTCATAAATACTTTAGATCATAATTGATTTAGAATATGAAATGTCTCAGTTTCCCATAATCCCTGTTTATATTTAGCCAGGGTTATAGCTTAGCGTTCTGATTTGAAAAGAGTCTTTGCAAAACAGTCACAGCTCCTAAAATTTGAAGTTTTTAAAAAAAGAATAAAGAGCTCAACATGAAAGCTAGAATGTGATGCCAGTAGCACAAATGAAAATGCTATTCTTTAAAAATTCCAACCATGTGATTTAATTTTATATTTATTCTTTCTATTTAAGAGAAAATAATACAAGCTTGAGAAGCAGTAAATATGTAAAGAGGAAATTTGTCAACCGATACTGGAAGATCTGACCTAGGTCACACAGAAACCTTCCAGACAAGAGCTGCAGGGCAAGCCATAATTTCAGAGAGTAAAAGAGAAAATGAAAGCTATAGCTGGTGTCTTCTCTAATCCACAGAGGTGGATTCATTTTAGTTTTCTGATTGTGCCTCTGAATATAATGTAAAAGCGGGTGGTAGCAAGATCTGTTTTACTATTGTATGGAAAAAGCTCCTCTACAGAGAGCAAAGCATAAAGTGAGACTTCCAAAATTGCTTTTTATCACCAGAGCCATTGACTAGTTGAGGCCCCACAAGCAAACTTTTACATTGGCAATCTCCTTTCCAGCATCATTTTTCACAGTCATAAGTCATGTTATAAGAGTTTTCTCTGCCGGGCGTGGTGGCTCAAGCCTGTAATCCCAGCACTTTGGGAGGCCGAGGTGGGTGGATCACGAGGTCAAGAGATCGAGACCATCCTGGTCAACATGGTGAAACCCCGTCTCTACTAAAAATACAAAAAATTAGCTGGGCATGGTGGTGCGTGCCTGTAATCCCAGCTACTCAGGAGGCTGAGGCAGGAGAATTGCCTGAACCCAGGAGGCGGAGGTTGCAGTGAGCCGAGATCGCGCCATTGCACTCCAGCCTGGGTAACAAGAGCGAAACTCCGTCTCAAAAAAAAAAAAAAAAGAGTTTTCTAATTGCTAACTGGATGGTCCTTGTAAGGAAGTATATGTGATAAATGTTAGTGGAATAATACCAAGACCTAACTGATACTTGTGGCTGCCTTTTATGAAGTCATTCTTCCCCATTTAAATACATAAGAGTCTGTCTTACATCAGAATGAGACATAACTATCCCAGTAGTGTGGTTTTAAATCTTGGATCTAACAGCTAATGCAAGAAAAATCTATGCCCAGAAAAGAGAAGAGGTTCATCTAATTCATCTATCAAAATGCTACTACTTCTAGAGACTGATTAACCAAATGTGTGACTGGAACAATTATTGTTCTCTCTCTCATTGTCCCAAAGTACTAGTTAGACATAGAAAACACTCAACACACCCAAAATGTATAAGCAGGAGTGTGGGCTCGGACAAGTTAGTTACAAACAGCGTTTCGTATGTTGTGAGGTGCAGGCAGTACATCAGCCCTAACAATATTATTGTGTTCCTCTGAACTCTGCTCTCACAGCTAAGCATTTGGAAGGCAGACCCAGAATAAAGATAGGCATTCACAAAGCCAGCATTTTATATTGAGGACCCTTGGTTCCACTTTTAATGTGCTATAAAACTAGGGGCTTCACTTTTTCGTGAACTGTGTGCAAAAGCAGAGGCAATGACTGGAGGTTGACTGTTTGGATCTGTTTTATGGCTGCTGCGCCTAGACAGTAATGTGATCTTGAAAAAGGTAAACAACAAAGAGTTTAACAGTGAAAAATATGCCTAATATAAATACAGCCAAGTACATGGCAGTTCAGAATTTTAAAAATATGACTGTGGCAGTAGATTTTCTGATGAAATTAACAGAGGAACAGAATACAGCCTTTATGGCAATATATCTGAGACAGAAAAAGGAGATAATAGATCTAACTCTGTGGTCTGTGTGGCATTCATGTAAAGAAAAGCACAGTAGCTTTATTTAATTGAGAAAATGAATCAATTACAGTGATGTTGCATCATCAAATTCTTGTGAAATAGAAGATATAAGTCACTGCATTGTGTAACTGTTAAAAAGTAATTGAGTATCTTAAGCATTTTGAATCAATTTCAGGTACTGACACTGCTACCTTAATATAAAATTTATGAATATGATTTCATATAATACATTGCTATCAAAACTGTATAATAAAGCCCGATAACAACGTCTCTCTTTAAAAACCTGGGCAAAACAGTATAGTTATAAGATTATTAAAAAAAGACTTTGATACTGCTGTTTTTCTTTTAGTAAAAAGCAAGCATAAATGGTACAATTTTAAGTTGTCTTAGACCAAGCTTTTAAGCTGCAGAATAGGGCAAACTAGAGACCTTGTTTAAGACCTCAGGTCATGAGGAAGTGTTCTCCCCTCAGTTAATCTGATTCCGTTCTCCCCTCAGTTAACTCATATGTTACTGGGAACTAACTCTAATCCTCTAATTAATTAACTAACTAATTCTCCCCCCAGTTAACTCATATATTACTGGGAACAATGTTTCATAATCCATGTCTGAATTCATTTCAAAACCTCTCACTTAGAATGTTTGCCGCGTGTTCTCAGAGAATGTTGTCATCCCCCGACTCTTAGAAATTTGTGAAGCACATTCTCTTTGATGTCAGAAGTGGGTTTCTAATTCTCTGTTCATTACAAATAACTCTGCTGTTGTAGTAGATATATCTTACTAGGAATGTGGGGGTGGGGAAAGTATCGTGTGTGCTTGAGAAATAAACACGGTAGATATCTCATGTCACAGGAGAGGTTATCTAGGCTTTTCAGTACTTTTTTAAAGGTGGTGTGGCTTGTTAATGAAATTCTTAACCCCTTCAGGGTGGGGGTTACAGCTCCGCCTCCCCTTGTAGTGTAAATCTTTACCTGCAGAATCTTGTCTAGAAGTACTCCTGGACTGGAGGAACCAGAACAAGCAGTAATTCAGGACAACATGAAGCAGGAACTATCAACAGAGACTAAGCCAGTCAACCTGGGACAGAGGTTTCTGAAAGTAGTGATTGGGGAGGAAGTGATGAAAAACTAAGAGGAGCAATGAGTAGGCACCATGTTCATTTGACAAATACGTGGGAAAACACCTTTTAAACCATTCAAGCACTAGGAGGAAGGGTGTGCTGATCAGCCACATGGATGCAGAAGAAATGCATAAACGTAGCAGCACCCCTTGAGATACTCACAGTCTAGGTGACAGGAACCAACATGTCAAAATTGATAGTTTATCAACAGTACCATACCAAGTATAAATGTATGCAAATCCAGGTGTTTTCAACTAACTCTGTGATCATAGGCAGGTGTAATACAGATGCTGGAAGGAAAGCTGCTCGGGAGGAGCCCCAGCACTACCACCGCCTGGCCCTGAGGCCTCAGGCCTGGACCCTGTCCTCTGAGAGACCCAGTTTTCCCATCATAGAGTAAAGATGATCATCTCTGCCAACCTCAGGATGCTTGTGCAGATAAAATGAGTGTGTATCTGGGGAAGAATTTTCTAAAGCACCTTTAAAAACCATGTAAGGGACTATGACTAGTTTCCCTTTATTTTACCAGCTGGTTGGAGCTCATTTATCTCAGAAAACAGTTGACTCATCAGTAATAGTATTTGGTTCCTGAAAAGTTCTCTGTTAGAAAATTCAGTACCTGGGGTTTCATTTTCATTGAGTTTGGAATAACTGTCGGCTTTATTTTTCCTGGATGGGGAAGCATTGAAGTGTTTAGTACTTTAATGACTAAGAGGATGTTTTATTAATTTTTGTGTCACGTTTTAGTAGCTTTCTAAGAAATGTAGTTTATCAGTGTTAAATGTGTGAGCAGCCTGCCTTCAGAATGTTGATCAGAAACGTACTCTTACTGGACTCTGCTTTTATTCCCTAAAAAACAGTGTAAAACTTGCATGAATTTGATTTTCCCAGAGAGCGTGGCTGCCCTGGAAACAGGCTGAAGGAGCTTTGTAAAAGGTGGAGTCGTTACCCCACTCCTAAGTTAGGGGCAAATACTTCAACCACATAATTAAAGTTTTCTTCACAAAATAGGGGATTGTGAACAGACACTGGCAAGAATCCAAAATTCTAATTTCTGACTATGATTTAATTTCAATTTTAAATAAATCGGTTTTTAATTTAAAAAGAGTGAGCTTCATAACATTAGCAATGATTGCAACATTAAGCCCAGTGTTCACAATCTAGCAATATAAAACATTATTTATATCTGAATCGTAAACAGCCTTCTGAAATGGATTATGGTTTTTCTCCCTATTCTAATACAACCTGGAGGGTACTAAAAAGTGTTGTGTGAAATTAACATTCTGCTGACTTTCGCCTATAAATGAGAAGCGAGCTATTAACATTTGTGTATTTTCATTATGTAAATTGTGTTAACACATGCCCACAAATTGCCACCAGCAATGCAATAATTTTCTCTCAGTGATCATAATGTGTCCAAGTGAGTCATTTTGATTATGACATGCTAATTACATATTGCCTTTTTTCAGATTCAGAAAAACCAGGGATCTTTAATGGTAAGCTTTATGAGTTCAGAAAAAAATTCACTTTTCTTTTTCCTGATGGCTGCTTCCTTTGCATGCTTGAATGCCTTGTTTTAAACTTAGCAAATTGCATTTTGAAGAAAATGCAAACCTTTAACTGCCTGTATTAGATTAGGTACCATTAGAAATAATAGAACATCCTGAGCATCAATGTTTTTATAAGAGTTTGCTGTTGTTGATTAATCTTGCTATATTTTATTGCATTAATGATTTTTTCTTTCCACTCCACTGTAAAGATATTGCATAGAGGCTAATACTTTTTCCTCTCTTCTTTTCCATTGCAGCCTCTCCAGCTTCTGCAGTGCATTGTTGATGAGGTGAGGCATCGTCTTATGTGCTTTCACTCCTAAAGTCATTCCTAATGGTGTGGAAAGCTTATATTTTGTTTCCTAATGAAGCACAATGCCCAACATCCTTAGAGCAAGTTGTGTTGTATGGATCTGAGCTGTGTTACGTGAACTGGCCTTGTCCCGAATCCCGCTCTTCTGATTCTGGCCAAGAAACCCTGCAAAAACAGACTGTCCCGCAGGCTGGTCCTCGGGGGTATCAGACGCCCTGAAGACAGAACGCAGTAATATTAATTGACCTTCTCCATGGCCAGATGGGGATGGAGCTGGAAATTTAAATGGTATCATTTTTTTCTTCAACAGATATTTAAAGTCATTCAGAAGGCAAGGGTCAGAGTTGAACATCAAGCATAAGCTGGGTGAAATTTGCCTGCCTTGAGTTATTTACCCAAAGCATATCAGGGTGATAAAAGGGTTCAAAAGCTCTTGGTCAACGGTTCAGCTTTAATTTCCTAATTAGGCATTTTTCTCAGAATATGCCCCTAACATCTTGTGTATTCTAGTAGCTGAAAACCTGTATTCTCACATTTTAATTGAGCTTACCTCTGATCATCCTTATTTATTGAGTTCCACTGTTCCTTTGCCTTCATGGTGCCAATCTACCCGCCTTTCTCTCGTAACCAACTTTGTCTACTTCTTATTCTGACTTTAAATTCCCTTTTTCCATAGATCATCAGTCTTGTAATACACAAGGCTCTCAAGAAACATTAACATTTTCTTTAAAAACTGAGCTTTTTTGCCTACTAGCAATGTTTATTTTTTTACACTTTAATTGTATAATATTTAAAACACTTATAATTAGAGAGGGAAGGCAATAAATGAGTCAGATAGGAAAGTTTGAAAGAAAAAAATTGTAATTCATAATTATTCCTCTCAATTAAACATCTGCATAACCAGTTATGAGATTTGGGAGAAAAAATAAAGATCCTCCTAGGAAAAAAACAAATACACACACATACCACAATAATAGTAAGAGTGGGGCTCCAACGTCCTTAATGGTTACATCAGTCAGTCCATATATCCCACGCAAGCCATAAACCATGTTGATGTAAAAATGAAGGCATCGTCCTGAAACAAATGGAGGCTCCATTATCTCTAATATCAGACAGACCCCCTGGATCTAATAGCTCATCAATATCCTCTGTCATCTTAGGTTCCAAAACATACTATCCCCATCAGAATCCTCCCAGTTTAACTAGTTTTCCTGAGGTCCCCCTCCAGTTTTGCTTGGGGAAGTGCCTGGGGAAACTTGCCTACCCAGCTTCATGCACAGCCTCCTGTGTTTCCTGGGCTCTACCGTTGGTCTGTCAGGCTCCTGGGCATCAGAAGAACATCCAGGTAAAGACATTCCTCACCAATACTATGTGTGTTTCCGGACAGCTCATCTGAAGATTTTCTGCATCAAATAGATGTTTTCATTCCTTATTTAAAGTAGCAGTGATTGCTATTCAATTTTAAATATCTTACTCGTTTAATTTGAGCAAAATCATGAGACTTTTGAAATTACCATAGGGAGATGTTGTATTTAAGGGATGAAGATTGATGAAGTACAATAATATGTAACTTAAATGGCATATGTTTCTTCATAGCATTTCTTCCTTAGTCAAGAGAAAAATGTAACTTCAACATCTATTCCTATTTACTCTAAAACCATCTTCATTGTGGAAACTTGGGAAATGAACATTGCCAAGATGATCTTGGAACTGAGCTGATATTCTACAATAAAAGTATTAGGAAAGGGTTGGCCAAATGACCTGCCTTAGACAAGATGAATTACAGCATCTCGGAGAGGAAGGATTGGTGGGGTCCTGTGCTTACTGCGCTTGTCCTGTATGTCTGTCAGAGTTCTCATTGCTGTCATGCAGTGTTGCTCATAGGGTGGTCCAAGGACTGACTGCATCAGAATTGCCTAAGGCTTTTGTGATAATGCAAATTCCTGGGCTCAGATCAATGAATTAGACTTTCTAGGGATCCAGCCTAGAGTCTACTAGCTTCCCAGGTAACTCTCTGCACATTAAAGTTTGAGAACCACTTCTCAAACTTCCCTAACTGCTTGCTAAGTCTAAGTCTTCCCCTTTAGTTCCCAAAGGGCAGTTAGCTAGCCATCTTCATTTGCATCTGACTTTTGGGCCTTTTATTTGTGAATGAATATGCCCAGTCAAGATTTGAGTTTTTTACTGCTTGGGAGCAGGATTTACCCCATTGTGAAATGGGTATCTGATGCTAGAATACTATTGCCTGTTAGAGAAAAGTCAGATCAAAAAGTACTTCTCCTGAGGGAGCTTAATTCAGACAAGATGGGTATATTGGCATCATGTACAAAATAGCTATTGCAAAGCCCAGTGTAACATATTTTCTTACTGTGTGAATTCAGCTTGACCTCCTGTTGTGGCCGGGCGAAGAGCGAAGATGTAGTAAAACACCACTAAGGTGGGCAAGAGCCAGTCCCGGAGTGGCCAGAGATGAATGTTAGAGCCAGTCTGGGAGTCAGGAGGTGGAATCATGGAACAAAGCCAGTGTTAGCAACCAGATGTCCAAACAGAAGACACCAAAAACTAAACAGGAGTAAGAATCATGACCATGAAACTCAGACCACAGATCAGGAACTGGGAAGGTAGCCAAGGTAACAGGAAAATTGAGCTCCAATCAGAAATCTGGGTGGTCCAATTAAATTTTGGTGGGTGGCGTTTCTCTGAATTTGCGCCGGCTAGCTCAGGTGTAAGTGATAGCTTAAAGACATCATCTGGTGCCTCAGAGTTGCTTCTCAACAGAACATCCCTTAAGGTCCTTATGTAATCAGGTCCTCCCTCAGTCCCTGAATACCTGCATTGTAAAGTGCTTTGGTTCTTGTAAGTGATGTGTGTTTATGTGTACCTGATGCCTTAGCCATCTGATATATTTGGGAGATAAGTTGGCCCCTGTTGTCCAAATAACTGAAATTTATTACTTTAAATTCTGACAGCTATGAGAAAATTTGCATTTTTAGAAAGAAGTGTTTCTAAAATCTATTTGTTTTTGGCAGCCTGTTGGCGGAGTGTGGTGAATATCATTTAACCTTTTCTCAGTGACTTAGGCCCTTGTTCTGAACATGGTACTGAACTTAAACTTTGATGTATTGATACCCTCCAGGGCTGTAAAATTGTATGAGGTTTACCTTGTTCTTTCACTGAATTTTACCAACCATTTTGCCAGAGTATTTGGCATCGACAGTGATATTGGTGGGCCTCTTGAAGTGTATACAGCCATTTGTAGTAACTGTGCTGCTCTGCGTGGTGCTTTTCCTGTACCCTCTTGTGATTGCCACTGTTTTTTGTGGGCACTCCTCATTCTTGTCAGTGACTACCTTTTGTCTCAATAATCTGACCATCTGTCTTCCATCTTTTTTTTTGAGATGGAGTTTTGCTCTTATTGCCCAGGCTGGAGTGCAGTGGCAAGATCTCTGCTCACTGCAACCTCCGTCTCCCAGGTTCAATCGATTCTCCTGTGTCAGCTTCCAAAGTAGCTGGGACTATAGGCACATGCCACCACACCTGGCTAATTTTTTGTGTTATTAATAGAGATGGGGTTTCACTATGTTGGCCAGGCTGGTCTCGAACTCCTGACTTCAAGTGATTCTCTTGCCTTGGCCTCCCAAAGTGCTGGGATTACCTGCGTGAGCCACTGCGCCTGGCCTGTCTTTGATCTTTGCACTCCCGACAGTGACCTTACCAAAACTAAAAGGTACCATCTGAAATCATATACTACCCATATATGTACTACCCAAGGTGGTATATATAGTCAAATACGGTGGTTCACGCTTGCAATCCCAGCACTTAGGGAGGCCATGGCAGAAGGATTCAAGACCAGCGTGAGGCAACACAGCAAGACCTCGTCTCCAAAAAATAAAAAAATTAGCCAGACATGGTGGCATGCACCTGTGGTTCTAACTACTGGGGAAGCTGAGGTAGGAGAATCACTTGAGCCCAGAAGGTTGAGGCTACTTCGGTGAGCCATGATGGTATCGCTGCACTCTAGCGTGAGTGACCGTGAGATCCTACCTCAAAATAAATAAATAAATACATACATACATACATAAATCACGAATTATAATCACAAAGAATAAAGTACTTAGGAATAAATCTAACAAAAGAAAGTTTTGTACACCAAAAACTACAAAGCATCACTGAAATAAATGGAAAGACCAGGCACGGTGGCTCACACCTGTAATCCCAGCACTTTGGGAGGCCAAGGCAGATGGATCATGTGAGATCAGGAGTTTGAGACCAGCCTGGCCAAAACAGCGAAACCCTGTCTCTATTAAAATTACAAAAATTAGCCAGGCAGGGTGGTGGACACCTGTAATCCCTGCTACTCGGGAGGCTGAGGCAGGAAAATCACTTGAACCCAGGAGGCAGAGGTTACAGTGAGCAGAGATCACGCCACCACATTCTAGCGTGGGCGACAGAACAAGACTCCCTCTGAAAAACAAAAGAATTGGAAAGACATTTTATGTTCATGAAGTGAGACTTAGTATCATTACGATGAAAGTACTCTCAAAATTGATCTCCAGACTCAGTGTAATTCGTATTAAAACTCCAGTAGGCTTTTTTGCAGAAATGGATAAACTAATCCTAAAATTCCTATGGAAATGCAGGGGACTCAGAATAGCCAAAACAATCATTGAAGGAAAAATAAAACAGTGTTGCAGATTTTACACTTTCTGATTTCAAAACTTATTGCAGAATTACACTGATCAAGGTAGTATGGTAGTGGTATAGGATAGACATATGGAATAGAATTCAGAGTCCAGAAATTAACCCATATATGCATGGTCAATTGTTTTCTAATAAGGATGCCAAGACCATTCTGTGGCAAAAGAATCGTCTTTTCAACAAATGGTGCTGGGACCACTGGATATCCATATGCAAGAATGAATTTGGACCTTTACCTTGCATCATACACAAAAATTAAAAGTAAATCAAAGACTTAAA